TTTTTTTAAAAAAAAATTAACTCTTTAGTCTATCTAAAAAACTGAAATGGGCTTATCTTCCAAAACTGAATTACTAAAAGCAAAAAGAGGTCTTATGGCATTTGGGCATCTTAAATGAGATGGAGTCTCTCCCTATATTCTTTTCTTGTTTGAACCAATCCCTTTTGATGAAAAGGTTTTTAGTGCCTCCTCCTTCATCTTTTCTTGGCTATTCTTGAATTTTGTGGGCACATGTAGGTTTTTGTTCAAAGGGTTCTTTCTTCTGTTTTTTATTTTTATTTTATTTTTCAAGAAAGATGACATGCTATGGTTTTGAATTTTGTTAATAATATGAAAATTTTAATTTTTTATATACTAGGAACTTTTGTTTTAGAATTGCATGGAGCAAGGGTAACAAAATTGCTGATCCGGAATTGTTAATGGAGAGAATTAGTTTGATTTTAATTAAATTGCTAAGTTTTGTTAGAATAACTAGACAACTTTGTCAGGAGAATTGGATGTCGGAGTATTGTCCTACATATATTGTTTTCCACATTTAAAAATGCGTTTTTTGAAATTTGCCATTTCAATTTGCTTTTTCCCATTTCTTGGCTTTTTTCTTAATCCAAAGTCTTTTATCTTTGAGCCGTCTACAATATCTACTCTATATTAATTTTTTCAGATTGACAAACTTTTTCATTGAAATTGAGGGCTTTAAATTATTATTTTTTTGGGGAATAAATGAGCAAAAACTTGTCAAGAATAGCTGCAAATTTTGTTTTCATCTGTAATTTAATTCGGTGTTTCTTTCCAGCTAGTGTTAGCAACTATCTTTAACAATTATTTTATCATTTTAAATAATTTTCATATATATTTAAAAAATTTATGTGATTTCAAATTTTAACAACCACATAAGCACCTTTTCAAACAATTTTGTGTTTTAGAAGCTGATAAAGCATATATATATTTTTTAGTAAGAAATGGCAATTTTTTCATTTAAAACATTCATTTTAATCACCATTTTTTAATGTTCAATAAGTCATTTATGTTGGTCATGTATTGCTGCAAATCTTCTCATCCCTTAGGTGCCTCTTTACTCGCTTCTCTGCAACTGAAACCTCTCTCCTGCAAGGTGCTCGCTAACACACTCATCGAAGATCGACCAGCAGTGATCTCGGGTGACTATCTCTGCGGCCTGCAACAAGTGACCGATGACTTTTGGGGGCTTTTTTTTTCTCTTTCCGGTGTTTTCTGTGCATTCAGGGGAGCGATATCTCCAGGTCCTTGGCTTTTGTCCTTTGATTATGCTTATCAAATAATTTATGTATAGTATTCAAAAGTCAGACCCTTGGGGTCAAACCAGTTAGCACTAGTTATGGGTCGAACCGGCAGTCCACAGTAGGAGGGAAAAACATAGAAGACACAGAAGAAGAAAAATCACTGATGGAGAAAAAGAAGAAGAAAGAATTGATCCTATTTTGAACACTTCAAGCACTATCTTCCACCTTAATCAACTGAATCGTAGCAGGATCATCCAGTAATACAATGTGTCATACATCGATAAAAGATTAAGGACTTTAAGGTGCCATACATGGATTTTGAATTTATGACCTTGTACCCTTCAAAATTAAGTGACCTCTACGACCTATCTCATACAACTTCAATTTATGAGTATGAGTCATTTAAGGAAAAAGTTTATATAGAGCCGAGGCTCTAAACAATTAAAAACGAGCCCACCTCAAAAATTTCACTAGAAGAGGTTGTTTTGATGCTCAAATTTCCTCAAATTGATCATCTCGAAATCAAGATTTACGTGTATGAGAAAAAAATAGATTTCAAGTTTTGGAAATAGTGTATCTTGTAACGCATTTTTGGACCATCAATTCTCAAGATTTTCAAATTTTCATATATCTGCTCGATCTACACTATCTGTGAAGTAAATGTTATAATCAGAGATGAAAATATGTTTTAATGCCATCACAATACAAACCAAACCCATAATTTAATGAAGAACTAAAATCTTATCGGGTAAAGGTATTGTATGGATGTGTCACGAAGAACTGGCTTTTAGAATGACGTACTAGACACTCAGACACATACTAGATACTGATGCCCATGTTTATATCCATGCAACACTACTCAGCACGAAAACTAACAACATATGCAAAGCAATGTAGATCGAAAAAACACAAACTCGTGAACAAATACACAGAAGCTCAAGCAACAAAGCATTAGCAACTCCAGGATGGTGATGGCAAGCTGAAGACTCCAGAGAAATCAAACAGATTGTAACCTTTTAGGAGGAGAGTTTGATCCTTCCAATATTATGATATGTTGTATTTGAGCAATAATTACTCATCTTCTCTTAATTTAGTATGTTACTTGTAACCTGTTAAACCCAGGTGTTTCATTCTCTTTTTCAACAGAGGGTGAATGTAATCAACATGGTATTTCTAGGTAACCCGGAATCCATATCACCCAAGATATATATAAAAAAAATCTCTTCACAAGAGTGCTTGCTAAGGGTGTTGTTCAACAACTTATATTGCCACATTCTTTACTCCATTTGCCTTATCTATAAATTGCATAGAAACAATGTTGGTGAGATTGAACCAGCCTAAGTACTTATTTGACTCGGGCCCATAGGCCCAACACTTGAAGATCAAGCCTATATCAGATAGAGGGGTGTGTGTTCCAAGTTGGTTGAATGGAGTGGCTTGAATAGAATTGTTTTTCAAGTGCATTTGGTAGGGAATTAAGGTTATCAGTCTTTGGAAGCCTTGGGTAGCCTAGTATTCACCTAGCTTTCAAACAAAAAGCTAGTTTTGAAGGACTTTGAGTTTGTTAGAAGTGTTTACAGCCAAATCCGATGAGATCTCTAACGAAATCTCTCCAAATTTATCTTTTAAATGAGTTAAAATATGGATCGGCAGAAATTAGTGGGTTAGGGTTCAAAAAGAAACCAATATGAAGAGATAATGGTTGTTTAAGAACTGTTGGAATATCCGGCTCAAGGTCGCAAGAAAATGCTAACTGAAAAATAAAGTAAATTAAACTAAAAATTAAGTTTAAATCTAAATTAAAATGAAGTAAAACTAAATTAAAGAAAAGAAAGGAATATAAAAAAACTTTTCTAGTTGGGCCGATCGGCTCCGCACACTAGAAGACCCAGAGTTGGCTCCTGTATCAGACTGTGGATTATTTATGTCATGCTTCTTCACTTTTTTTCTTGAAGAATGAGGTTGGCAATTGATAACATTTAATAATGGTTGGAATTAAGATTGAATGTTTTACCTTGAATTAGGGCTTTTAATGACCTAGGGTGTTTCAAGGGTTTAAGCTAGCTTGGGGATTTTGGGGAATTTCTTGGGATTTTCTTAAGATTTCAAGTGTTTTTTATTTTTGGGGTTTTTCTCTGCTTTTTTAGAATTTTTAGATATTTTAATATTTTTTAGATATTTACTAGGCCCAGCCTAGGGACACTTCTGAAAGTTAGTTTCATTTATCTTAAAAATAAATTAGGCCACAAACATGCTTATCAAATAGCCGAAACCACCATTTTGAGTTTCTTTGGGTGAAGATTTGGAACATTTTGGGCCCCCTCGATGCATCAAGGACCTAGATGGAATTTTAACTGAATAATTTTGTCCAGGTCATAACTTTTAAATGGCAAATTAGACTCAAGAAATAGAGTCAGTGATTGTGTGATAGATTTTGGACGGTGACGGGTTATAGGTAAAGGATTGTAGAATTATTTCGTATCCTTTAATTTAGATTGGAATTTTTTAAACAATAAAAATTCATAAAAAAGTAAAAAATTATTGTATTTCTTATTAAAAATAATCATATTTAAGATTCAAGAATTTTGTTTAATCATTATATATAAATGGAGATCTTACTTATTAGGCCTCAATAATGGTTGGTAATAGTAGTTAATCTCTTGCATCACCAATCCCTAAGGAAAGGTTTAGGGTTTTAAAAGAAGGTTTGGCTATATGAAATCAAGGTTTCCACCAATTTTAATCATTTCATTACAAATTTCAAGGGTTTCTGATACATCTTCAAATGCAAAACCAGATCACCTCAATGAACATAGCCCATGACCGAACCCTAGAGAGCACATTGAAGCTATGGGGCTTTAGGTTTCTTCCCTAACAAAGCTTCGGATTCTTGTTTTGTATGGTTTCCAAAGATGCTCCTGAAATGGTGGTCTGAGGACTAAATTCTAGAAATTACACAAGAGATCCATGGATTATAAGGTTTGTATGGAATATAAGCTTTTGGGAAAAGAGGCACCAAGAATTCTAGGTTTTCTGATGAACAAAAACTTAAAATAGCCAAATAACCTAAATAACCCTAAACAAGTAAGGGCATTTTGAATATTTGGCCACTTTAAGTACTCAAGCCAAATGGTCTAATTCCCCTGTGCATTCAAGGTCTTAAATCCGGAATATATATTTTCATTCAAAAGAATCTTACTTTAAGTTTGGAATCATAAAACAAGTAAAAGTAACTTAGTATTGGCCAAAATACCAAATTCCCGTTTCCACTTGGCTCCAAAACTAGTGCACAATTTATCAATAAAAAAACTTGTTTGTATCAGAACCAAGAAAAGGTAATGGTTGTAAGGTCATTTGAAATATGGAATTTTTTAACAGAATCCTTCATGAGGTGCCTCAGAAAAGTTGTAATCATTTTGTTTGTGGAATTATTGATTTCACCTCAATGATTTTTTGAAGTGGTGGGCCGGGTGGCCAAAAATAGGTCCCATTGCTCGGTCGATAGCCATGCATTAGTATTAAGTGTGCGTGTGATTCATGTTAAGAGATGTGATTTTGTTTGGCTAAAAGAGAGAGTTGCTTTTACTGGGATGTGCCACTTTAAAATCTCTACTCTCAGTCACAACAGTCATAAAATCATGGACATTTCCCTACTCATACACCCTTAGCACAAACTTTTTTTATTTCCCTTTTACTGGCCATGCAGCAATCAAAATACAGTAATAGAAATCAAGCATCATATCATCTCCTGAAAATTACAGCAATGGGGCTTCTCACTTCATACTTGGAGCCTGAATACCACTTTATATGGCCCTCTGAGAACTCTAAAGACCCAACACCTTCTTTAGAGAAGACCACTTGATAGCTCTTCTTCTGGTTCACCTCTGTGAATTCAAGTTTATTGGGCTTCACCTTCACACTCACCCCTTTAGGCTCCACCGCTTCCACTTCATATGAAGAATTTGCATCCCCAACATTGGTTACTGTCCTGCTAAAGCTGAAAGAAGAAGGTCCCTGTGATGAGAAAACCACAGAGAAAGATGGGTAGTTCAATTCTCCCTGTGTGATGCTGGTCTCCTTTGAGCAATGGACTTTGCTCTTAGTAATGGCCTCTACTTGGGTTTCGTTGTACCCCAAACCACAGAGATAAGGTATATAGTCATCAGCATTGAGATCGTAGACCAGGCCGGGATCGGCTGCTTGTGTGATGTTGACATGGCCCGCACCGACTGCGAAGATATCGGCTGGATTGTGGGTTTGGTCTGTGATGGGCTTCCCTTCAGTGTTCAGGATGTATGCCGTGGTAATCATGGCTGACTTTATGGCCGCAGGGGACCACTCTGGGTGTGAGCTCTTGAGCATCGCGGCTAACCCGCTTAGGTGTGGGGTCGACATGGATGTACCTGAGATCATATTGAAAGCTGTTGGTTTGGTATCATGTTCTGAGAGGCTCATGTTCAATGGCCAGCCTGCCAGGATTTCCATGCCAGGTCCGATGATGTCTGGCTTCAGTATCCCGGGACTCTGTAAGCTTGGCCCTCGCGATGAGAAGACAGCAACCACCGGGGCTGCGGTGTCCCTGAACACTGTGCCGTTGAAGAGGATTGTGGCTGTGGGGTTCTTGGTTGAGTTTATGTAGGCTTTTATCTTGTTTCCATCGGCGAAACTCACATGAGCTGCCGGCAAGATGTGGCGGCTGGCCATGAGCGCATATGCGTTTCTCTCATCGTTCATGAGTATCATGGCAGCGCCACCCATTTTCAAAACGACCTCCCCCTCCATCACCATGTCGGATCCAAGAGCTCTCTCACAGAGAACCACCTTGCCTGAAATCTCCTTTGTGGTTAGCTCCTCGCACTGGGCTTTAATGAAGTCGCCATCTTTGCCTGGAAATACCAGAGGGAGAGGAGTCTCCTTGAAGTCCTTCGGTTGGAAGAGGGATTCTCCCAAGAAGGTCTCGCTGTTTTCGAGCTTCGGGTTGGCCCTAATGGCTCGATCCAACGTGCTCGCCCCGACGGTCAGCAACCACGGCGCATCGCTCGACAGTGTGTAATGGTCCGGCCCGTTGTTTCCGGCCGCACAGCTCACAAAGACACCCTTCTGAATCGCACTAAAAGCACCGATTGCAATGGCGTCCTCGTAAAATGGCCTCGAGTCGCCGCCTAAAGAGATCGACACCACATCAACACCGTCCTGGACCGCCTGGTCAAGCCCCGCTAGGATGTCTGAGTCCATGCAGTTTCCTATTACGCACACCTTGTAAACCGCCAGGTGCGCATGCGGGGCCATTCCTCGGGCAGTACCCTTGGCAAAGCCATATATGTCAGCGTGCGGCACGAACGCACCGGCAGCCGTGGTTGCTGTGTGCGTTCCGTGCCCATAGTCGTCCCTTGGAGTGTCGATTTCATCCCACTCCTCCCTCGCATCCATCAGCATGGCCTTGGAACCTCGGTTATAGACATAGGCGCCGATGAGCTTGTTGTTACAGAGTGATGAGTTGAAGTCTTTGCCAGCATCCACACACTTGCCTTTCCATTTCTTGGGTGGCAGCGGCATGCCGGAGTCACTCAGCGATGGGTGCTCCGGCCAAATGCCAGTGTCAAGAAGGCCAACAATGATGCCATTTCCGAACCCAGAATGGCGCCAGAGACCCAGGTTAGGGCTGAGGCCTAAGAATTCCGGGGTTCGGGTGGTCTGGAGGCGAAGAAGCTTGTCAGGGTAGGCATGGAGGAAGCCATCTTTGGCCTTCATGGACTCAACTTCTTCTGATGTGAGCCTGGCTGCAAAGCCATGAATGAGTTCACTGTAAGCATAAACCATTCTTGGTTCAGAGGAGGAGGAGCTTGTTGCTGGAGTGTCTGGCAAGAAGGATCCATACCAACTCTCTCTCTCTTGAGAGTTTAAGGTCCCTGCCTCTGGCTTCCTTACAAGAACAATGTAGGTTCTCAGCTGGTTGGCAGAAGCCAAGCCCAAATGAGAGATGAAGATGAAGAGCATGATGGTATTGCCTCTCTTTAGAACTTGTGCACCATTCCTCTGCTCCATTCTTCTGTCTCGAGAGTTGAAGGCAAGGCTGAAAAGATTGCTATGAGGTACGAGCTGAGGAGAGGCAGTATCTATTTAAAGGAAGGAAGAGAGAGAGAAAGCGAACACATGTAAGTTGAAGTAATAAAACTGAGCTGCATGCATGAAAAAACGCTGAAGCCTCCCATAATTACCACCAATTAGGAGAAGAGTCATATAATAAGATAATTGTGACAATTTCCCTTAAGACTTGCCTTAAATTAGTAATGGCTTTTGTTTCTGTTGAATTTAAGCTTATCAGTCCAAAGCAAATTGTAACGGTTATGATAACTAGAATGCTAAGTGCTTTTCTTTCATTTGAACAAGTGACCTCAGTTTTTGCTTAAATAAAACATGTATGAGTTTAAAGTGAAGTCGTGAGGGTTTTATTTCTACTTAACAGATAACTTCGGATGCCACAATATGATGTCTTGAGTTTTATTTATCGAAAAAAAGTTGGAACTTTTTATGTTAGCACCAATATTGTCAAATCTGTTTTGGAGTCTTCTACGGCTTGCTAAAAAAAAATGAAGCTATTTAGTACTTTGACCGATCAAGGGGAAGATTTCATACTTTTTCTTAATTGAATAAAATTAAATTAAATATTTATAAAAAATAATAAAAATAATTTTTTTAAAAAAAATTATATAAATATTTTTTTGCTTTTGCCGAAGAGACAGCACGGAGTACCTTTCGCTTCAGTCTAGACGTACGCAAAACGAATATGACAACATTAGTTAGGACAACAGAAATTAATGTAAAAAATTTAAAACCAATTATACCTATGGTCCTATATAATAAAGTACAAATAAATTAAAAATCAATTAAACCCAAAAATGACTTTAAGAACTTAAATACAAGCACAAACGTTACTCGTTCAAAATATATATATATATATATATATATATATTAAAAGTTAAGTCAAACTTTCAGGTAGTTCATCACTTGCCATTAGCCGGTCAATATTAACCTATAAAGACTTTTGTCTTGATGTGGTAAAATGGAGAATAAGAGAATTATGCTCGGAAGGCAAAGGAAGAGTACAACACCCCTATCCTATGGATGCTTAAATGGTGCACCGGCCCTCTCCGAGCGGCACGTGGAGAAAATGGATGACTATGATTGGATAGATTATTTTAAATTTTATGCAAAAGCTTTTCGATGCTTTTTCTTGCTTCCATGTACCAACGATGGTCAGCAAGTTAGGCACTATCAATAAATCCGCTCCCCATAAAATCAGAAATAAATCGTTTTTATTTTAAAAAGTCGGATAAAAAAATCAAATAAAAAATACGGATCAATAAAAATACTTCATATAAAGATATCGCTAGTATATCAAATTAGGCTAAGAAAATTGGAATAAAAAAATCGGATAAATTTATAATATTAGAAATTTTAAAATTCTAAAAAGTAAAAATTATGTCAAAGCTATCAATAACTAATGGCTGCAGTTTGCATACGTATGCATATGTAGGTGTAGAAGTAAGGTTGACCTTCAAAATTTATCATGGTATATAATTTTGATATAAAATGTTATTAAGATTATTTCAAAATATATTTTTATATCTAATTATAAAATTTTAATTTAAAAAAATGGTTAAAATCAAGTAGATCTATAAACATGTGAAAATCTTGAAAATGGATAGTGTAGATAATATGTTGTAAAATGCACTATTTATGAGACTTAAAATCTTTTTTTTTCATAGTCATACATCTCGATGTCGAGATGATCAATCAAGGGTTTTTCAACATTAAAACTACTTTTTATGATAGATTTTTAAAGTGCATCCATAGTTCTACATTATAAGGTTGCATCCTTATATAAACTTTTCCCATAATTAATTCATCCATAAAAACTCTACTAGACTAATATAATTGAGTCAATGAATTTAGATGCTTCTTGATTCTCATCCAATCGTCTAATATTAAATACATAATTAACTAGTAGATATCAAAAAAATGTACCATATAAATCTACCCATGAAATATTTTAAGAAACATCCCACCTACTTATTACATAACAAAAACAAATATACTATATAAATTTATTCATTAAATACTCTAACTATGATATGGTGACAAATATTCTACATAAATTCATTAAATACTTAAAACATCCAACTTACTTAGCTGGTATCAAAAAAAAAAGTTCACGATTTTTCTTTTTTCTCATTACAATAATTTAACTATAGTATGGTGACTATGGTCACTACAAAACTATGGTTAAAGTTTTATAAATTTCTTTAATTGAAAGTAGGCTCCTAGAGATTTGGGTTTCACATCTCTGTGCTTATGGTTTATAGAGAGAAGAAGGACGAAGGAAGAGGCTCATAGCCACAAGGGTTTATAGAGAGAGAAGAAGTAGGAAAACTTCATCGGCTTTGGTTTATAGAGAGAGAAGAAGGAAGAAGGAAGAGTTCGTTTGCTTCACCAACCCTAATGGAAGAGACCCTAAGTGATTTTTAGAGAGAAAAAAAGAAAGGAAGATGGGATGCTGATTTGGGATAGTTTGAAGAGGATTTTTTTCTCTGATTTGAGTTGTTGTTGTTTGAGAGAAAGCCCTAATTATACTGAGTTCTTGTTGAGAAAAAACCCTAATTATGCTGAGTTCTTGTTTGAGAGAAAGCCCAAGTTATACTGATTTGTGATGAGGCCCTAACTGATTTTTTGATTTGTGAAGAGGCCTTGACTTTCATAGAGAGAAAAGGAAGAGGGTTTTTCATTTTGTCGGGGAAACAACAAGTTTGGGGGATTGCTTGCTCCTAAAAGTTTACAGTTTACACTATATTGTTTATCTTTGTTATCACATAATAAAAAACCTGTACTCACACTCGGCTTCTCATTCATCAGTAAAAGACTATGTTTTGAGCTCTAATTTGTGCCATTAACATTATTTTCATAAAAACAATTATCACAAATAATAACAAAAATCTGCATGTATATGATTTTCTTTACACAATGATTTATTTTATGAAATGATTTGTTATAAATGGTATTATTTCATTTAGACAATGATTTTCCATAATAACACCTTTGTTTAGATTTTTTTAAAAAGGCAAAAAATTCATACTTTCAATCAGCAACTGTGGCTTTGAAGAGCACTGTGGGAATACAAATTTCCATAAGTAGCAATGGCTGCAATACACAAAACAGGGAAAAAAAAAATTATAGGTAAAAAAGATACTACTGTTTGGCCTGATTTAAATCGAATTATGAAAAAATCTTGTTTTAAATGCTTTTATAAAAAGTACACCATTTTTTCATGACCTTTTCAAAAAGGTCGCCGTTTAAAATTGTTTCCATAAAAGATCACCGATTAAACGGCGATTTACTAACTATGGTACCAACCGGCTGAGAGGGCCCCAATCATAATGTCATGTCATTATATTATTTTTTGAATAATGATCTGATGAGACCCTCCCACGCCCATGTGTATAGGACTCCAAAGGATGCCACATATCTCTAAAAAAAGTTGTCATATAGGTATGGGACTTGACTTTTCTAGAGATCTATGTCATATTGAATGGTGATGCTTTGAGATCCTACACGCATGGGTGTGGGAGGGTTTCACAAGATCATTTATTTTATTTTATTTTTATTTATTTTACAAACTATTTTAACATCAAAATTTGGACGTCCTCCTCTTTTAAAGTGACACCTATAAAAACTATAAATTTTTTTTTCAATAAAATAAAATAATAAAAAATATCCTCAAAAATTTTAAAAGGTATTTGATCATTAAATTTCATCATTACCCGCTCCAGCTCTCATTAACCATTAAAACTTTCATTGACTGCATTTTGCAATCGCTTCAATGGAATGATTTTGAGTAGGCTAAAGAAAAGGAGGCATAGATGACTGAAGAACACGACTAAGGGTTTGTGAGAGAGAGAAAGAATAGGGTTGGGAGAGAGATAAACAACATCTAAAATAAATAAATAAATAAGAAAGAAAGAAAGAAAAAAGGCGGCTAAATTCTTTAATCTATCTTAAAAAAAAAAAGAAAAAGGGTTAAGATATGTCTTCCTCATTGAATTACTTTAAAAAAGAAAAAAAAAAGATGAGCATCGAGAGAGAGAGAGAGTAGGAGAGAGAGAGTCTACTTTTCTATGAGAGACAATTTGAGAGAGTACTTTGCATTGAAAAGAGGCAAGAAAAAATTTGAGAGAGACATTGTGCTTTGTACTGAGAGTTGGAGAGAGATTCTACATTCTATATTTCTATTGAAAATGTAGAGAGATCTAACTTTATATGGACCGAGACCAAGTGAGAAAGCGTCTACATCGTACTGAAGAGTAGTGTTGGAAACCACCACTTGGGGATGGCACGTCGCCATGGGCCGAGCCGGAGTAGCTAAGTAACTCGGGCCAAGTTCCATGTTACTCGGCTCGAGTGGGCCAGGGTCCCACTAGACCAAGAAGTGTTAAAAGAATAAATACAAATTACCTCTAAAATTATGAAACATATGTTTAAAATAAAAATTAAACAAAACACATCCAAATGAGGTTAAAAATATAATGAAAAAATAATTTTTTTAAAAAAATTAATTTGTGACTAAAGGTACTTTAAAAAAAATTCAAAAAGAATGGAAAATATAAAAATAAACATTTATGTCCAAAATGCTTTATAATCTTTGCCAAAATGATAGAAAACATAAAAAATATCACAAATAAATTTCTTATTTTATAGATTTTTATTTAAATTTGAAAAAATATCTCCATACTCTCTATTTTTAGATTTCATTTCACAATAGAACCAAGTTTCAAAAGATATTTTGGGGCATAAAAATTGTAGATTTTATTTCTTCTAACCCGCTAAACTAATTTAAATATGTTCTTTTAGGCCAAATAAATCTAAAAAGACATGCTTTTTCTAAAAACCATCATCCCAAATTTCTAGAGAGATAAAAAAGGCTTCATGGAAGTGAGAGCTTATTGGGAGGAGAGAAAAAGAGGTGTTTGGAAAAACATGGGAGGAGGGAGAGAGTGAGAGGCATAGGAAGAGAGAGAAAAAGATAAGTTTAGGATATATAAGTGAAGAGAGAGAAATGATTGGGTTTAGAAAAAATATATCTTTTTCATATTTATTTAGATTAAAAAATAGGTTTAAAGTGACCAGGAGATAGAAGATATATTTTGAAACCTTAAATTTATCAAAAAATGAAACCTAAAAATAGAAAATATGGAGATATTTTCCCTTAAATTTTTTTAATATCCCCGAACTTGACCAACAAACTTGGAATATTTGTTTTCTTTTGACAATCTCTATAACTTTTATCGAATAGCTGCTTAAAAAGCATGGGTTACATGGAAGTAACTATACTGTTGAAAAGGGATAAAGATGTCAAAGACCCCAAATTTGACAAAGTGACTCATTACATCATAAGCTTCTCGAAAGATATGAGAGGAGACATGAGGCAAAGGTTTAAGAGCGAATATCTATAATCTTAACCAATAAATCATGAAGAGATCACGGGATTCTTTGTTGCAATCTATACCATTTGATGACATTAAGAGAATCCCCTCCAATAAATAAATAGGAAAAGATATTGCCTTCGTCATCCTTGAGAATGCCCCCAACCCACGGCCTGGATTTCCTAAAAAACAAACTTGGGATACTTAGACTTACCGAGGTAGTGAGCTCGAGTTACTCATACGTGTCGGAGGTAGTGAGCTCGACTTACTCATACGTGT